AAAAAAGTCTATCATGTCATTTAAGTTAGAAATGTGATGAATGAAACCGGATTTTAATCCCAAAATAGGGAAAAAAAAACAGAAACTTAAAGTTAAAAACGTGGATATTATAAATAAGGTTCCAAAATGAGCTACGTTTGGAAAACTTTAGTTTTTAAATAATTAGAAGCTCAGCATTAGTTTTAGCATTAGCATTTTAACTAGTTAACAGGAAATCAGGGATTAGACTTTTCTAATAATCAGCCAGAATTATTTTGCCAGAAAAAGAAAAGAAACCTCTGCCTCGTGTTTAACTTTAAAGCTAATTAAGAATTAGCTATTAAAAACTAGAGCTCCTCTACATTTTTTTAGACTTTTCTGTTGCACTGTACGAAAAGCTGCTGGAAGGCTAACGGCTAAAGCTATCCGATTAGCTTCATACGGGAAGCTCAACGCAGACAGAATAAGTTTATTGCGTGAACGCTGCGTCTGTTGATGTATCAGATAATATATGTTTAAATATGAGAGGGTAAAAAAAAAGAACAAAACCATTAAAGAGGGGAAACGCTAAATGAAGCCTAGCTTGTACAGCTAGCTTGTCAAATCAGTTGACAGCTGTGAGACCTGCTACGTTTGCAACCCCAGCTGTTAGCACTGTGAATATCTGTATTTAGAATAAAATTTTAACAGCTACAGAGGCAAACCTCAACGTGTTATTTATTATAAGAAGTAAGGTAAGAAACGGGAACTAGCTATCAGGACCAGGCCTCGTTCACTTACGTCTGGACGGTTGGTTGGACTCTCCCAGGGCTTTCCTTCCCCCGTTAGACTTTCCTCCTCCTTGATTACTTTTCTTCCCTTTCTTCACCACCTCCCATTTGCCGACTGAGCCATTATTAGAGGCCATGTTTCGATTTCAGATGGACCAGTTATTAGTTCGGGGGTATAGATACTTCTTTCCTCTCTTCTTGTTGCTGCCGACCCGTGTGAATCTCTGACGGGCCGCTAAGTCAGCGGCTCTGCCACGTCTCTTTGTTGGCATGACGTCAGAGCTCTGCCTCTGAACCCATGGATACACTCAATGAAGCAAGGGATGGGAAAATAAAATAATAATAATAAAAACAGCAAAACATCAACATTAAACTTTAATTCAGTAAATTTTTAATTTCTGAGAAGTAAAAAAAAAAAAAAGTTTTTTTTTTTTTTTAAAGAAAATAGATTGTAGAAACAGCATCATCCTGTGTAAATTCACAGTCATCCGGGTCATGGCAACCACAAACAGGCTTGGATAGGAAGGCAACCCAACTTTCTCCCAATTTATGTTTAATATTATATATTTAAACATAAATATTATGTAACCTTATTTCTGCCAGTGGTCAAAAAGATAATTATTTGAGATTAAATTATTACTGTTAAACAGCTAAAAAACATTAAATAGCTTAATAGAAATTATTTAATAAGGTTTTCTAATTTAAGAATATGAACATTGCAATTATACTGGTGAAGATTCTCAGTCATCCATGTCATAGTAATTTCAAAAAAGTAAAAAAACAAAAAAAAAAAACAATCCACTGGACCTTGTTTCCAGGTTTGAAGACGTTTCCAAGTTTGGCCTGTTCAGACAGGCCAACAATTCCCCCTTTCAGAGACATAGACAGGTATCGGGTATTACAGGCTAACCAACGACCCCCATTCCAAAGAAGCAGACCCGCTCGTCCAGTTCAGTTTGCATGTTTTCTAAGCCAAAACAAGGCTGTTTTTGGTCCACTCTCTAAAGCCTCAAAATAGACGCCATTTCTGACATTTTGAATTGAGCTTCCAGGATGGAAAGCGGAACATCTTTAAACTTGGAAACCAAGTCCATTGGATTGTTTTTTTCTTTTTTTGGGAATTGCAATTATGAGAGTACTTCTCTATTAGAAAATACAATATGGTTGAAATTATTCTAGAAAAGCTTCAGAGAATTTAAAATAAATAGCTAATCTTAACTAGCTCTTTTAATTCTAAATCGACAGCTTTTACAATTGTAAGATAACTCGAAGTAAATTACAGGTTTGTTAATCACAGCACAAAAAAGAAATATAATATGGAGTCCCTTAACCTATTCTATACTCATATTTTATTTATTTTGGGAAAAAAGATCAGTTTGCATATTAAAATTTCAGTTTTTTTTTTGCTTATATAAACTATTTAAACAATATTTCTATTGTGATATTTTAATATTTCTTATAGTAATGGGTAAGTGGATAGAAATACCAGGTCTACTTTATAAGTTCATATGGTACCAATAATTAAATAATTGTAAATTACTGCATAATTATCTGCAACACATTTGACTATTACATCTTTTTGAAAAGGTACCAACATTCTGTGGCTTTTTAATGTGTTGCATCATCTCCATATGTACACTATTACCCTCACTGACATGTGCCAGGTCCTGTTAACCTTCATCTGTTTGTCTAGCTGCTGTCTGTTGAACAGATGGTGAAGTTGGCTGCAGATTCTCTCTGATGACTCAGTTATAGGCTCAAAGAAATCCTAGATTTCTTTCATTTACAGAATTTTGAAGGCATCTACTCGAAGTCTTTGTTTATTGTAGTTAATCTGCAGAATTGCATTTCTTGCAGCTTATTAAGCATATGAGTACATCAAAAACCGTATATCTACAATTTTGACACGGATGTCATTCATCAGAGAATCAGATAAACAAAACAGACCCACATCACGACACGCAGCAAACATCTTTCAGTTTCTTGATCCTCAGAGCTTTATTTCATTCCAGCAGTAACTCCAAATGATGCAAGTTGATCATATGGCTACCATGGTCGAAAAAAAAAAAACAACAACAAAAAAACAGCAAGAGAGTGTTGGATGTTTCCTACTCTCTGACTGCTCCCACTAATGTCAGTCATGCTCATCCTGGGTATTAATCACAACAAACCAAGCCTTTTTTTCTTGGCAGCCATGGCGGTGTTTTAACGCTTTGCAACATATGAAAACTTGAAAGCGGCAACAGAGGAATAATGGTAGCAGCTAAAATGTTTAACTAAATAAACATTAGTATTTAGTAGCGTTGGTCTGCAGTGTTTGTAAATTTATATTTTACAGCCTGATGGTTGTTTGAGAAATTAAAAGACGTCCACGACTTGGGCACTGAGGGATTCAATGCATAAAAAACAAAAACATGTCTTTAAAATAAATCTAAAAAATATAAAATTGCATCTTCCTGTATCCTCCTGGGAGCAGCAGCCAATCACTGCTTGTTGGCATTTTGGATCATTTCAGCCAGTTTGTTTTGCTACATATAGTGCAAGACTGTCAATCTCTCCAAATCCAAACCATATTTTTCTTTTTTCCAGAAACTGTACAGAGCATATTATCAATAAATAAATAGAAACATAAATACACCATGCTGTCACCTAACAAGCTGTCAGAACAGTTTGATGAGCAACTTGATGAACCTGAAAACATCGGTAATGTTTTTTCCTCAGGGCGATGAGCTGCTTTAAGTGCGTACATACGTACTGTTCAGTCTGTGATATGTTTGTTGAGCTAATCATTCACTGTTTAGCATATAATCAAAATATTTCCATTTTGCAGGCCTTACTCCTAAAAGGCAAAAGATCATTTATAATCTCAACTTGAAAAAAAAACAACAAAAAGACAATCAAAATGCTTGTAAAACATTTCTAGTGTTTTATGTAAAACCTCTTGGTGTGAGGAGGCTTCTTTTCTCCTCACAGACAGATTTAAAGCACTGCTGGCTCCAGTGCTGCAGTTTTAAAATCCCATCGCTGTTATCTCTGAACAAGTGACAGACTGAACTCACTGTGCAGTCCAACTGCCCCCTCTAAAACGGGTTAGAATTAGTCAGTCAAGCCAAGCCAGGCTGCCGGGCCCTTATCCAGACACACCTAGGTTAGTGTTCTCTGCCAGTCAAAGTCCTAGCCTGTCCAAGAAAGTCGTCGTGGACATGTGAAGCCGTGAATGAGATGGAAGAAGTCGAAAATTTTTTAAGTTAACTTAGGAAGGTAAAACCAGGCAAAAAAATTAAAAAGACTCAATGGTCTGATTAAAGTATGAGAGGTGAGAGATGGAGGTGAAAAAGAGGAAGAATTCAAAACTCCTCCTGATCTCGTGCTCCTTCATCAATGTCATCTTCTTCGGGAGGTGCAAATCCTTCCTGTGGAAACAATTCGGGTCAGTTTTTATGCGTGTACCACTATTGCTAAATCTTCCTTTTAATACCAATACCAAATAATCTTCCTTTAACTTTAGCTTACTGTACTTATTTGAATCTTTTTGTATTGCCCTTCATTTTTCTAAGGTCCAACTATGTTTATTTATACAGCATAAAGACCATAAAGATCTAAAATTACCCGTTTCTTACCAACTAGGACCCTTTGGGATTTCCTGATATTTCAAACTGCTACATTTATCACATTGGTGAAGAAATGCGTCTGCGAACTAATGATAAAAGGCAATCTACAAAATACTGTAATAAATATATCCCACATAAAGCAAGACAGCAAGGAAATTTATGCAGCCAACTTAAGTTTTACAAGACTTATTACAATTTATGACACAGAAACTAGAGCTTGTTACCATCCAGTTACTGTGCTCTTTTGAAGCATTTTTCACAGATGTTATGACCACAAGCTGTACAGTATTTTACTTATTTTAATCAGACAAACCAACATAAAGTACTCCATTACTTTCACATTGAAAGAAACTCAGACATATTTCAAGCCTCTATATAGTATTCAACACCCAAACAGCTAAGTTTTTCTTTTAAATCAAACATATTTCTCTAATTACCCGTCAACTAGCATTTTTTTTTTAACCTGAATCGTGATCTTATTAAAGGTTAAAAAAAAACATATCTAACATCTAATATCTAACATTTTGAACAGATTTATAAGCCAGGTAGACTATGAAATAATACTACAGGCATGGTGTTTCATATGTGCGGTGTGTTTTAAAGATGCACTTAACTGACCTCTGTAGCGTACAGTATGTCAATGATTTTCCCCAGAACTGGGTTGTTTTCATTTTCTTGACAGATGAGCTCAATGTCTCTTAGTTTGCCGAAGTAGAAGTCCCTCTCCTTCTCCAGCCCTTCTATAGTCAGTTTCATATCCATGATCTAAAACCAGGTAAAAATCGGAGAAATAGAATGTGAGGACAGATCCACCAGGACATCACATGTGACAAAGTCAAAGATGATCATAGATACTGCTGCATACAGCTTTAATCGGAGACCTCTAAGGAAACCAGAGCCTGGACTGGTCAGAGAAGCGGTACCTGCTGGTTGAGTTCTAGGAGCTCTGCGTCTCCTCCGTTGCGGGTAACCGGGTTGTTCCTGCGAGTTGTTGGTGGGTTGATCTGTCTCTGTGGAACAGGGACGGTCTTCGGGGCAGTGGGAGACGTCCTCATCGGACCTGCGACACAGAAGCACAAACTTATTTTTATGTTTCTAACACATTTAAAATAATTGGCATGTCATTGTGGAAGACATGGAGTAAACAAATCTGCTGTATTTCTACAATAAGACCCGTACCACACTCAACTCCATCAACTACTTCTGATGTCTGCCTAATAAACAGAAAAGCTGAACTTTAAATTTTTGATTAACTCTACTTTGAAAATCAATCTTAAAAGAAACCAAAACCCTTTAAAGAGATGGAATCTACCCTCACTTACCATAATCTGCTTATTTTAACGAGGGGGAAAAAAGCTGATTGGAAAGCAGGAATTCACAAGAGTCTCAACATTTGAAGGCAAACTATCCTGCCACCGTGTTTAAAATGCAGAATTTGTTTTATGTACTGTTAACCATCACCAGCTTTTGGGTTTTTAGTCACAAGCTCCAAAATCAGGTCTTTTTTCTGATTAGTAAACACACCATATCTAAGCAAAAACCAGTGTTATGACAACAGTGCGGTGCTTTCTGGAAGAAGGTTTGATATTTTGTATATATGGAGTTGTTTAAAATTTAGGATTTCATGATTTTAGCAAAACACAACATCATTATTAACAATATTTTTGTTTGAAATACGTGTAGAAAATGTACCCATATTTTTAATGATTGTTTCTTTTTCCACCTTAATAAAATCCCAATTTATTTGTATACCTTACAAATAAATTGGGATATTTTGGACATCATTAGTACATTATTACGGTAGTTGTACAAACTTTTCCATACTTGTAAACTCTGAAGGCATAACTCAAGCTTGAAACCCAAACAATCAGATGATGTTTTGTTCATTGTCTCTTTATTTGGCAATCTCACAGTACAATAATTAAAAAAGTATTAAACTTTCTGTGTAAAAAGAAACACACCAATTCACACCAAGACTGAGCACATCAAACCAGAATTAACTGATCGGCAATCCAAAAAAGGTCCTTTACATCCCAGCAAAGACATGCAGGGTGGGGTTACCTGAGCGAGGGGGGCGTTTAGGTTTAGGATGAAATGGTTCTCCTGGGTTACAGGTGGGGAGGGGGTTATAATGAGGTTATTAAAAAAAGCAATGAAGTGTTAATGTCTCAGACACACACACTCATAAAGACACTCGTTTTCAAACCTGGGTTTGGCAGAGGTGGCGTTCCTTCCTGACCCTGTCTCATCAGTAGAGGGTCGTACTCTTTCCCATCGTAGTTGGCGTCAAAAAATCTCTTAAACCACTGAAGGAACTCAAAGTTGTCCTGGAACTTCCCCTTCACCAGCCTCTCCACAGGGATGATCTAAGAACGACAAGGAGGATGGGTGAAAAGCGATAAGCCCTGTAGGCTTTTTATATTTCAATGATAACATTGCGATTGTAGCCAGGAATTGATCTTTCTCACCTTGTCAACATTCATTCTCTTGAACGCAGCCTGTAAAACCTTAAAGTTGTGAATGTATTCGTGTTCCAGTTTGGCGTTAAACTTGACTTTTTTCAACAATATGCACCCAGGAAACAACATGTCCATGAATTGGCAGTAGGCAGCACCTGTAACAAAAGCAGCCCTTAAATTACTGGCAGCCTAAACATCGATTCTGAATCTATACTGATGCTAAAATAAAACGTTATTACCTGAACAGAGCTGCTCAATCTTTGTGTAGGTGAGCTGTAGAGAGTCGTTGACCCATGCCAGCATGTCATGGCGACTCAGGTTATCAGCATTCATAGAAGTGGAGTAGACATTCACCGCCATCCTCCTGCTTTACATACATTTAGACAGATATACATATAAAAAATAATTAAATGATCTAAGTTGGGAGTTAGGTATTTAATTTAATATGTATAGTAAAACAAAGTGGAATAAACACGCTTCCTTTATAAGTATCCTTCAAACATTACTGCTATAAAAAGCTAATTATTAATATAGTCATCGATTATAGTCATCGATTGGATTTTAAACAAATTCTAAAGAGTATATGAGCTAAAAAAAAAATTTCTTCCTTGAAGGATCAAATTCCCTTTATTTAACAGGGCAATAAATATAATTCGTCATATTCATTTCATCATTATCTAGATGGTCAATAATCCTGAAGTATACAGTACAGATGTAATCAAAACATCTGTTCTCTGTTGTTATGATGATTAAAAATGATCCTATTTTAGTATTCAGCTATTTCTGTTATTCAATGGAGGATTTACTCACCAGTGCCTTTATGTTGGTGTTTAATGATTCAGAACCAAACTGGGTTTAACCACCTCAGAGAAAAGATCTGAAGATGAAAAACAAAATGATTTGTACATTTTTACAGCTTCATATATATACAGCTCAGCATGAGTGTAAGATTAAGGTTAAAATACTGTTTCATACGAATTACTGAAGGGACCACACATCTATCTCACAGGGCTGAAACTATCGGTTTAATCATCATTAATCGAAAAAACTGGGAACTAATTTAATGGTAATAATTAAGTAATTAATTTACTAATTTAGTCATGTTTGTTATGATGACTGGTTTACAGTTCACTACATTACTGTGACCATGTGGTGGTAGTCAAGTATTTCAGCCATTATAAGTTAAAAACTTGATACTTACAGAGAAAATAGCTTTGTACTAATCTAAAAACATGTTTCCTCTCTGATTAACCTTGATTTCAGTTGTTTTATCCAGAACTGCAACTCTCTGTTATTTAAGATGATCTGATACAAACTTTTGCAAAGAGTTGTCCATAGAAACAACTCTATTACAACTAAGAAATGTTATATCCAAACAAATATGAATGTATATAAAGCAGCTCATCAAATACATACATTTTTTAGTCTTTATATTAAACCAACTTTACCTCTTTTCCTTGAACTATTTGATTTAGTTCAGTCTTTATTGCCTCAGAAAATTATTTTCTACAACATTTTTAAGTTAAAATTTTATTATACCGTTATGTATTTCATGACACTTTAGTATACAAATCTTAATTCCAATGTCAGATTTGGCCCACAAAGTCAAGCTGTATAGATTTCATGATGATTTCCAAAATGTCTAATTCAATTTGTTTGAGTTTGAGGTAGCCTACTTATAGTTAAGGTAAATTACAAACAATATTAAATATTATATATATATGTATATGTGTGTTTTCTTTTTATATCATTACAATTATTATCTGTCATTTAAAGGTTTGGAAGTTAATATTTCTAACTAACTTTTACGGCCATCCTCAAAATAAAATACAGCTACCTCAAATTTCCATATTTAAATAAGGGCTTTCCCAATTGGTTTTTCACCTGCTGTTGCAAATGCAATGTATGTCCATTTAAAAAATAATTGTAAAAGTAATTATTTTTCTCAGAAGCAATTTAGTGTTTTTCATTTGGGATCCTGAAAGATCAGACGCAAGGCGGGGTTTTCTTTCAGGAAATCACATTTCAGTCTTCATGCTCCAGTTAATGATTACCTGATGGATGATCAAAGTTAATTTAATCATTTTAGTCCTAAATTATACAACTTGGATAACTTCTAGCCACATAGATTGAATTAACATATCTAAAGTCCAAGGACTGATGTGTGTCCTCTCCTTTCCTTGTCCCTTGTTAGAGATAAACTAGTTTGCTCATAGGCGCCTAATCTCTGCCTCAGTTAATCCCTTTAGCCTGAGCATTTAACATGTTCTACCACAGTTTAGCTCAAACCACCAGGAATGGTATCCACAACATGAAGCATCACACTGAAAGAGTGAGTTACTGAAATGTTTCCTTTGATCTGATGTGCTCCTACATCATCACAATGCATGATTTGATGCTGAACAACCACTTCCTGATTAAAGGTCCTCACAGGCAGCAGTTTAACCAGTTTTCCAAAGGGCCAGGAAAGCAACATAAAAACGATCTAGTTGCAGAGCTGCATCTTTAACCAAGTTTTCACTGAACACCTTGGCGGGACATTAATTCACAAATTACTAAAGCTTTCAGTCAAAAACATTGTTTTTTTTTTCGTGTTTAAATCCTGAGGAAACAAGGATAAACTACTGAGAGTAAAAACTAACCACTAACAAAAATGCCCAATTAAACTTAATATTAAACACCAAGGCGAAAAAAGCTGTTACAAATTAAAATGAGTCAAATAGTAAAAAGCATTTATATAGATTTAATAATGTTAAATTTTGTAGATTGGTAAAACAGTAAATGGGGCTTAGAAACGACTTAAGATCATTTAATAAATCATGCAATTTTTCATCAAGTATTTCATATCAATTTGAATCATTTTATCATTGTTGATAGGACTAATGTTTGATTAGTGTTAAGAGTTTATCCATGTTAGCAGCCTAATAAATCTGCTATCACACCTTCAAAAGAGGGTTACCGATACACATGGGAGAGTTGACTGCTTCTGACAGGATCCTGAACCTGGTTCTGGTTGGTTAAACGGCTTCAGTCGGGCTCTTAACAGATGAGGCTGTACCGCAGTGAGGTTAGTTCTAAGTTGGATGTTCAACGGACATTCAAAAACCATCCCCTCTGGTTAAACCTCGTCTTGTCAGGTACCCTATCTGAGAAAACCTCTACAGTGCTTCATTGCACCCTTATTACAGACATTACAGTAAAAACTCAGCATAAAAAACAGCTACATAGATTTCAAACACAAAAACAAAAGGTGTATCTCATGAACCCAGTGGTGTACCACGATCCAACACTGATTTTGAGTCAATTGATCACATGAACTTGAAGCTATTGGGTTAAAATGCTAATTCTTTCATATAAAAATTAATTACAAATATTTAGGGATTTGGAATGTAAGAAATAAGAGCTTTAACTCTTGAACCCCGTGAAGAACTATGATCCTACACTGATTTTGAGTGAATCAATCACATGACAGATAGGCAATTGAGCTAAAATTGTAATATTTTCATATAAAAATGAACTAAAACGAATTGATTGTTCTATGCGTGGAAGCAGGTTAGCCAGTATCGCTCCAACTCCCGTACAAGCAGGCTCCTTCGCCACCATAGAGGTGGGAAAGTCATTTTAAGTGACCATGGATCGGGTCGCCTCCACCGCTGATCAATCCTCTCTGGACCTGTCCCTCATGGCGTCCCATTTAGGTGGTGGACTGGGGGATGGCCTCACATCACTCCTTCTGCCGAGGAAGAACTGGACCACCAGGTGCTTGCATATGAACTCCAATCCCAGGTCTGGCACTAGGGTGGGGCGAAATATGCCAGACCGGGCAGTATTGATTGATTTGTCTTAATAAAATGCTCATTGTCTGACCCCTCACCCAGGGAAATTAAGCTCCCGGAAAAACTATATAAGAAAAAAAATCACTTAATCAATATTTTAAATAATTCTTAGATATTAGATATTTAGAAATTAAATATTAGAATTTTAGCTTAATAGAGTCCAGGTCACATGATCAAGTAACTCAAAATCCGTGTTGGATCATTGTAGGCTACTCAACTAGCTTCACAAGCTCAGCATTTTATTTTTACATTTCAAATCCTAAACTATTATGATTAATTTGTGCATGAAAATATTAGTATTTTAGCTCAATGGCTTCTAGATCCTGTGATCAATTGACTCAAAGTCAGTATGGGCTCATAGTACACATAATTAAAGGTTAAGCCTTTTATTTATGGATTACAAATCCCTAAATATTTTCGATAAAACTTTATATTAAATTATTTGCATTTTACCCCAATAGGTCATGTGATCAATTGCCTAAAAAACAGTGTGAAATCATAGTACGCCACCAGCTCTATAATGAATACCTTTTTTTTTTTATTATTTCAAATCCCTAAATATGCTTAATTATTACATATGACTTAAATATTATTATTTTAGCTAAATAGCTTCCCAGCTTATAAAATTAGACTTATTTTAACATGAAGTCGCTGCATATGCTTTTGCATCGCTGCTTTTTTACTGTAAAGTCTGTAATACAGGTGCACTTAGAACTGGCTTTCTCTTCTTGCAGCGTACGCAGAGCGAAGAACAGGTTTATCAGAACAAGGAAGAGCTTTAAATGAAGCCAAGAAGATGTTTAGCAAGAACGGAGCCAAGAAGATGTTTAACTAGAGTGAATCTCTGTCAAATATCCAACTTGAAAGTAACTTTACTGCGCGTGAAGCTATATCCGTTAAATGCACTGACAGGCAAGCTAGCTCCTCACTAACGACAACGGTAACGGGAGCGAAAGAGCGAATTAAACCGATAAATACGATTAGACCATTTTTATAAGCTTCGGGTCAGTTTAGTTTCACCACGGTATTATCAAAGGACGGCTAGTCGGCACGGCTGACACTGAAAACGGGGGGTTTTCTCCTTAAAGCACATCCTCCTCTGGAGGCCTTTTCCATAATACAAACACGCATCACTCCAATGAAAGAATGCCCGTCTCCTGTGGGACGGGACGAGTATTTGTCTATGAAATTAATCAAATTTGCAACCAAAAACGTCAACTTGAGTCTCGCAGGGTTTGGACTCCGAGTAAAGGTGAACATATGTTACTCACCAAGGCGAAAGCTGTCCCCTTTGACCACTGTGCCGTTGTTTCTGTTGATGCCTGGTCTTCCCGTTGCTATCCGACTGTTCTCCAGCTAAGCCGCTGGAACTGCGCATGCGCCGCACAGGAAGCACTTGGTGCAGCGGAGGGGAGGAAGCTGGATTGTGGGAAAAAGATGGGTTTCGACAGAATTAAAGTTAGGGTAGGACATTTTAAATTGTTATTAATTCAAAACCAAAGTAGTATCTTAACTATTGGGTAATTTCATATCATCATGAGTAGCCCTACTTTAGCCCCTGTATCTGATAAAAGGGGCCTGTTTAATCACTGGAAAAATTTATATTTTAACAATCATAGGCAATATTTTTCATTTGTAATATGTGCAAAAGGCAGGTATTTATACACTCCCCACGGCAATATATATATATATATATATATATATATATATATATATATATATATATATATTGCTAAAGAAGTTGGGAATTCACTGTAGTGCTGTATCCAAGCAAAGTCACAGAATGTTGAGTGGAAGGAAAAACTGGTGGGAAAAGTTTCACTAGCAACAGCTATAAGATGGACCTTAAAGGGGAACACTGTTTTTTTTACACTGGGCCCTTGATTTTACATTATAACATCATGTTCTACTCACCCATATGAGTTTTGTGTCATTTGGAGCTGTTCTGAAGATAGTCCGTTAGGTTATATCCAAGTAACGTCTTCCTATGGGCAACGACTTGAAGGCACAAACTAAACTGTTCATAATTTATCATTTATGGTACGCCAGCATTCATAACATGTAGGCGAATCACTGTCCCCCAGACATCCGTGGTTATATTTTTTATATTTATAGGTTTTAAAAAACAAAGCGACGTGTGTGACGTCATCCGCGCACGCCGGCTACTGTTCATTCATCCTGTCCGCTGAACTGCTGCTAGTTTTACTCACATGCCTGGAAGATGTCTAGTGCTGCTACCACAGATGATCTCGCTCTTGAAATGGAATTGAACGATTCAGATTTGCTAGCCGAATGAATAGAAGGGGTAGAGCGTAGCCGCCTGTGGCCCTGGCTGCCTGTCACAACTCCAGTCCACATGCGTGGATGACGTCATACACGGATGTCTGGGGGACAGTGATTCACCTACATGTTATGAATGCTGGCGTACCATAAAGAATAAATTATGAACAGTTCAGTTTGTGCCTTCAACTCGTTGCCCATAGGAAGACGTTACTTGGATATAACCTAATGGAATATATTCAAAACGGCTCCAAATGACACAAAACCTATATGGGTGAGTAGAACATGATGTAATAACGTAAAATCAAGTGGCCAATGTAAAAAAAAAAAAAAAAACGGCATTCCCCTTTAAGAGAATAATCAAGAATATCTGCCTACATAACAGTGAGTGGGCTAATGTTGGAATCAGTGCATCTAGAACTACTATGTGCAGAAAAAAATCTTACAATGTCTTCTTCAATCAAGCCACTCTTGATCCAGAGAAAGTTAGAAGCTGGGCTAAAGAGGGCAAATACCCAGAGAGTGTTTTGTTCAGGCTTATTGCACACTGAAAAAATAAGATCTTTGTGGGATACATTGATCATTTCATTTAATAATTCTGAGGATAATATTTCACTTACAGCAAACTGTTTTCATCTGGTGTTTTAACTTCAGTACTTAGGTTGTTGCTGCACAGCCCTTTCAAAGATTTTTTTTCACATTCCAATAAGTTGTTTAATTGTTAAACATCTCTAATAATTATCTTTACAATGTTGAACATTAAAATCATCTGCAAAACTGAAGCAATTTTTTTTTTCAAAAAAGGAAAATTGATGAAAATGTTAAGTGTACTGTGTTATTATATGCACTGGATTTTTTTTCATCACAATGTGTGTAACTTGAGCAGAAACACAATTTTAAAGATAAACTCACCAAAATATAGATTTTATTTCAACCTGAACATTACCACTTAGCATTCATGGGGTAATTTTTTCTGGCGTTTTTTAGTTTTACTTTTCAAACCGCATTTATACCGGCCTGTGCCTAGTCAGTTAAAACCTGAGCAAAACTGTAATAATAGAAACAACAATTCTATTTGTTAATACATACTAAAAATATACAAAGAAATAGACAAAACCCACATTAGTTGCATTTTAAAATCATTTATTTAGTTTCTGTTATTTTTGTGGTAAGAAACAAGCAGCCACTTATGGATTTAACAGGTTCACTTTCCAACAAAATCCACAAACACAACCACTGAATCACAGTGCCCTCAACAGAACACACAAATGTCCAACAATACGGTAACAGATGTAAACAATCCTAGAAAAAAAAGCACCAGTTTTTATGAACCTGTGGCCTTCGATGGAGACTGCACTGCAAGTGTTAAAGTGGTTCTCTCCGTGCATTGTTAGCAGTGAGGCGCAGGTGATTCCCATTGGCACATTTGATCTTTTAACAAAATAAAAAAAACACTAATTTCTAAATGTATAGAGTACCCACACTGAATAATGAGACAGTGCATAAATATAATACTGGAAGGCAGGAATAAGACGTCACCCAGAGGTGAGAGGATCAGTGGTTTTCCTTAGCTTCAGCCTGTGCAGCTCAATCTTTCTGCAACAATAACCTCAATTTATATTTGACTACGTTAGGATCTCTCTATATAACTTTTGTGGTCTCATTTGTATAAAATTGATAAACAAGGAGTTTAAAAAATATGTCAAATCATAGACTTATGCAAAAAAAAAAAACAAGCTGCCAGTGGTAAAAACAACAAACTGTTAACATAAAAAGAGAGAGATTAAATTATACTAGAGACCTTTGGGACATGTACAAATGTTCACTAATGATAATTTTTGCATTTCGGATCTTAATTAGAGTATGGTTACAGAGAGAAGACTCCCTTTGTTTATTGTTTTCACTCAAATGGCTCAAAGTAATCTCTCTGGAATGAGGGGACTGTATTCCTCCTCCAGCCATGTGAATTACAATAAACTCCATTGTCAGAATCGGGTTAACAAAAAAATAAAAAATAAAAAACTGTGACAACAGAGACTATTAGAAAAGAAATTTAGAATTAGCTTCTTGTTTTCCCTTTAGATACTCTGCAAGGGCAACAGAACCCACACACAAGATGAAAGCAATGCCAGAATTGAGATTTTATTGGATCATAACTGGGACTAAACTCATGGCATTTAAGGTGAGGCAGGGTGTTCAAATGACACTGCTGGAGGCAGTGGAAGTATAAATACAGACAGAATGTCAGAAGCAGTTGGATTTCATCACCACACAGAACCGTTGGTCCACTGGAAAAAAAACAAAAAAACACTCTGTGGGGCGGCAGGGGGCCCAGCAGAGTGGGGTCGTTCAATCACTAACAGGATCCACACACAAAATCACTAGGAACTATAACGCCATGGTGTTTACAGTGTACTGTATGTGTGTCAGTGAAGGGTTTTAATCCACTTATCTTAAATAGTTCAGTCAACATCACTGTATTTCCAACCATTAAAAACTGTACTGTTTTTTTTTTTAAATCTTTCATTTATTAAAATGCATTACATGCTTAAAAGCACCACTGAATCATGTTATTAAAATGAGTAAAATTTGGAAAAAACATTTTAAATTCAAACAAAGCCCTTTTAATTTGATGTTATTAAGCAGTTCATATCAGTTTATAACAAATTTACTTTTCAGTTTCGTAAAACACCAATTAATAAATGGTTCTGACTGCTACTTCAATTTGTTTGAACGTTTTTTTTTATCCTATGTTGTTCAAAATCAGTGCAGTTTTCCAGGTTGCTTGGAAATAAAACAAAAACACAGAGGTCAAAGCGGTTTGGACTCCAGCACCGCCCGTTACCAAATACCACTGGAGCGGCCCCCAGGAGGAGCCAGGATCCGAGCAGAGGACCTCTTCGGGATGTGGTCGTCAACTTGAGAACCTGACAGCAAAGATGCATTTAAATAAGACTTGAATAGATACAACAAATAATAAACTAGATCGAGAGGTTTAAGGGTTTATTCTAAACCACCTGACAGACTAAAGGAGGACTCGTGGAGGTCTCGGACCCCCTGGTGGACCCGGACACTGGGTTTGTTTGGTGACTCTCCATCGATGGGACCCAAACCCAGCTCCTTCTTCATTGTGTTTGCAACCTTGGCCACATCGCCGGAGTACGGATCCCTTACCACTCCTTTATAGGACTGATTCTAAAACAGAACAGGAAGATGAGATGATCATTAATAACTATCTATATAAATCTTAATCTTAGAGTAAAAAATGTCTATTTGCTCTTTAATTTCTCAAGCCAGCCATGAGTTTGTATCGATGTATGGAAAATGTTATTCATATATCATAGTAAATATCAGATACCGCCAGCATTATTTTGACGTTAAAACATTAGTATTCAATAAATATTGATATTTTGACAGTGCTGATTTTCAGCTTCTAAAAACCTTCTTTATTTTTTAAAGAAATATAGCCCACATTTCACTGCTTGCATTTGTGAGGTTCATTAATAAAGATAAATGGACATATAAGTATATCTAAACATACATATGCATACCTATCAATTTGTTACATTATAATAACAAGTTTTAATACGATTTTAATGGTTTATGAGGCAGGCAAACAGATATAATAAATATAAATATGTTGAAATGTATTTTCATTAAGTTCCCTTGAGAGAAACAGGTCATAAAACCAACTTTTAATTCAATTACAGCCGTTCTTCTTTAGAGGTTGGTATCAACGAGCCATGCCATCTAGGGGCTGATTTTCTTGCCCATCCTTCTTTGTATAAATACGAGAGATGCACGATATAATCGGCCCCCTATCGGTATCGGCCTGTATCGGCCTTAAAACATAATATCGGA